TTTATATATATATATATATATATAATTTTTTTTCCCTTTAAAATACATTGTTTTATCAAACCAAAATTTTAGAATAAAACCTTACCACAGCATAAAAGTATTGGTTGTAATACACTTCTGAGCCTCTCGGTGAAAGGTTACAAACTATAAATTTATTAAATAATTTTTCATTATCGTGCAGTAATTATGAAATTCTTCACGCATTAGTTTCAAAATAAAACAAAATTTTCCTCAAACACCTTTGTGCTAGGCCTTATTTTTTTACACGTTACTTGGACAATCCACTACATTAACCCATTAAGTCAACACAGTCACATAACCCATGGATATTTCTAAATATGCTACATACGTAAGTAGATAACCTTAATAATTGTTGAATTTGATGATCGATCAGTCAGAATATAAATAAACGTTGTTTGATTGTTGGGATTTCTGAAGATCAACGGTTTACATCAGCATCGTAGAATTCAGCACACCAATCAACACACAGTATTTAGTGTTAAGCACAACGAATCGTCAGAAACATCAAACACTGAATAGTGGACTCTTCATTTGTTTTCATCAGACGTTTCTATTAATAAATTGTGTTATTTCTACTTTAAACCGGTGTATTTTAAAACAAACTTTCCAGAATATCATGGCTACTACATATTGTATGATTTACGAGACTGAGTTTTAGTTTTTCCCTGAGAGATGGCGCATCGGAACCAAAACCAACTTTGAATTCCTACACAAACTACAACTGTTAATTCTCTATATTGATGTACCACGTTTTTAACGGTTAATATTTTACCCATCTCATGTAAACTTCAATCTTTCTCCCCCCCTTATCTAGTTCACTTCTCCATTATACGTAATCTTTCCTAAACTTTTGAGTTTAAAATAAGCTCTTTCCTCCTTAGCAGCCAATTTAAACATAATCATTATTACCTAACTCTTACTATTCCAAAAACATTCTGATAAAATAAATTCTCAAATAAACAGTACCCCCAGAACTGGCTACAACTACCCCCTCCTTCTTATTTTCTTTTAAACACTGCGAAATATACCAGCAACAAGTTCCACTAGGGAAAGACAAAGCGCAAATTCTGTTTCAGGGACATCACAAAAAGACAAACATTTATATAATTTATATATATATATTTAATGCTTAAATTAATAATCTTGTTGTTTTTTTAATTATGATTAACTTAACGACTGTCTAGGGTCTTCTATGGTTCACTGGGATGTTTACTGTATGAAACTACTATACATATAACAAAACTACTAGAAACAGACACCACTTCACTGGACTGTTGGAACGTTGATCCGTATTTCTCCGGGAGGGTTTCGGTCAACAAATTTCAGTGTTATTGAGATAATGCCTTCAAAATGGCGTGTACTTCCTCGGCAATGGCCATCAAGACGAATTCAAACTGAGCCTGTAACAAACATGATTTAACTTTAGCGTTTTTATTCAATTACTCTTGTGTTAAGACACAGTCTTTATCTTACGAATGTTACGCTGCACGTTATGTAATTAAATATCTTAGCCCTAACCTGATATAAGTGGTGTTTTTACTAAATTAGTTCGAAATCTTTGTTACAAAAAAACTAAGTAACAATAAAAAACCGTCCCATGTTTTTCACCATTGCAACTCAAAAAACCATAGTATCTCTATTAAAAACACAGTCATTTTAAAC